TTGTATTTTCCGTGAATTTGTCTGCCTTTTCCATGAATTTGTCTATTTTTTCCTTATTTTTGTCTGGTTTTTGTTTCAACTCTTGGATAGCTCTGAATATTAGAGATTTGATTTTACTATCAGATAGTTCTAGTGCCTTTTCTTCTACTGAAAAGTCATCTGTTTTTTTATTTTGGACACTTACTGGAACCATCTTGTCCTGTTTTTGTATATGTTTTGATATTGTCTGCTGTTTTTGGGACATTCAGTAGTTATTTTCCTTGTTTATTGGTTGATTTGTTTTGTCTTTTTGGTTTTATTTGGCTGTGTCTGAGCAGGTGGGCTGTGAGTTGTTTGTTGTTTGCTCATCTGTAGGCACGATACTTTTTGCTTCCTTCTCCAGTGGGCAGGGTCAGTCGCTCAGGTATGGTACAGCAGGGTATGTCCAGCTGAAGGGGAGGGGCTGAGGTGGGTTGTTTGTGGCACATACCAGGGCCAAAAGGGTGAGCTGAAAATCAGTGCAGGGCAGGTTCACGTAGGCCATGCCTGTGCTGCTTGGGGGTGTAATGTTCAGCACCTGGTGCAGGTAAGCAGAAAGGAGGGGGTAGATTGTGATGTGTAGAGCTAAGATGCTATAGAAAAGAGGAGAGAGAGGAGAGACGAACAGGAGCCAAAAACATACAAACAAAAAAGAGTGCTAAGGGAGCTTTGCCGTTGGAGAGAAGAGATGAGAGACTGAGAAATGGAGAAAAACAAAAAGAAAAACGGTAAAGGAAAAGAATGAATAAATAAAAATTAGAAAAAGAAAAGCAAAGCCTCTAGGGATCCCACTGGTGTGGCTGCAATGACTGATGATCTTGCTCCCAGGCTGTGAAGTACAGCCTGGCTAGAAGGGGTGGAGGTGTCACACAATGCCAGATATTCAGGAGACAAGAAGAGAAGGTAAGTATAGAGAGATGAGAAACTGAGAAATGAAGAAAAACAAAAAGGGAAAAAGAGAGAAAAGTAGACAAAACAAGGAAACAAGAAAAAAGAAATGTCCCCAGTGATCCCACTGTGCGTCTGTGCAGAGTAAGGGAGTAGCTCCCAAGCCGCACAGTACGGCCCGGCTAGGAGGGACTCCTAAGTTGAGGGAAGAAAAAAGAAACAAATCAAAATAGAACCAGTCAAAACAAACAAACAAAAAGAATCCCAGGGATGCCACTAGTATGGTGGTACGGGTCGGGAAGCAGTTTCATAGTCGAGCGGTGTTTCGCAGCCTTTCAGGAAGCAGCAAAGATGGCACACATTGCCAGGTATTTGAGAGAAAGGAGGGGGAGGTGGTGAGAGGTATAGAAGAAATCAGAAGAAGCGGGAAAAAGCAACACCAGCAGCCAACAAATGGCAGTCAGGGAGGCAGCCAGTGTGGGCGGGTGGAATCCAAGCGGCACCAGGGTTAAGCTGGTGCTTTCTGGCCACGAGACTGTGGCTGCAGGAAGCAGAGGAGGCCGAGTAGGGGTGAAGAAGGGTGGGGGGGTCGGAAAGTATATATCGCTGGTTACTGGTTGTTCTGTATCCCGCTGGAAACTCCATGAAGCTGGTTTCTCGTACCCCCTGTTCACTGATCTCTGATAGGAGTCCAAGATGGCCCATTCATACTGCGTCAGCTGATATGGGACCTCTGCATGTATCTATCCTCACTCTCTGTTCTCTGTCAGTTTCTTATTCCATTAGATGCTTGGCTGAGTTCTTTATGTCTTCATTTGATGCTTAGGGTTTCAGGATTGACGTTTGTCTCTGTTGGACTTAGTTTTTCGGATCTTTACTGTGGAGGGATGGCGTGGTGCTTCTGTCTATAGGGCCGTGTTGCCCTTAAATGGACTCTCCTTGATAGCTCATTTTTTCCACTGATAAATTCGTTGAAATAACTTAGAGTTTTCTGTAATGCTTTTCGGCGTCATAGTAAGCACATGGATGTGTTTCTAAGAGCTAATTAACAACCAAGTCCGTGTTTTTGAAAAGCTTACTTCTAACCAATGTTTGTATAACTCTCTTTCATTTATTTTAAATTCTTTCATTTATTTAAAATCTCATCAGTTTTCTGTTCATTTCTTGAATGTAGTAGCGTCAGAAGTCCTCTAACTTCTCAGGGAGGGAGGAGAAGAACCATCATCAGCCCAAAGCTGATTCGTATGCAGTGGAGATCAGACATACCTCTGTTCTCCAACCTTTTTACCAATTCTAACACCAGCCATCCCTCCCACAACACTCTACTTCTCTGCTGCGTTCAATAATTTGTAGCAATGGCCACACAGAACTCACAGACCATACTTTATTTTGAGATTTATTGCAACAGATTACATTTCAGGATGAGGACCATTCTGGAAGTAACAGGAACAACTCAGGTGACAGGATACAGTTTGCCAATTAGGACAGCTTCCATCCAAGTCAGGTCTCAGCTCCTTCTAGGCCGTGTCTGCAGGCGGGCTTCACTTGTGCCTCTGCCGCTGACCCCAACTTGGGCAAGTGTTACACCTCTTTTAGCTCTGCTGTTAAGTGCTCAGACTCACACTACTCCACCACCAAGCCTCCTGCCTGAAGGAGGATCAGTGAGCCTATTGTAGCTGCCTCGCCTCATGGGCCGGAAAGCCCACCACAGTTGTCTTGTGCTGGTCTCCTAGTTTTTGCTGCTTATAACATCTTGCGCCGTCTCCAGTGTTACAGCTGTCTGTTTCCTCGGTCTAGGAAGTTCTCAGTACAGGGACCCTGGGTCCAAAGGATGCACTATGCTCCCAGCTCTTCTTCTTGATAATAGTGAGGTCCCATTCTCAACCTCTGTGGGATTGGTTGTTTTATAAGCCTACTTCTCCGACCAAGAGCACAAACTTTCCAATCCCCTTGGTAGGCTGCAGGTACCTTATTTGCATAGTAAACTGTCCAATACTTGCAAGAGTTTTACCCACCTGTTTCCATAGTAAATTATTCAATCCCTGCAAGACTTTTCTGTACCTTATTTGCATAGTAACCTGTCGAGTCCTTTTGCAAGATTTGCCCTAGGAAGTCATCTTGGTAGAACTACAAACCCAGGGCCAGAAAGGCCATATATAAAGAAACCCGTTACACTGCAATTTCCAAAATACTTTTTGACAAATTAGTCCTAGAGAGAGATGTGATCTAAACAAAGCAAAAATATGAAATGATATTGAATGTTTTAAAATCATATTTAAGAGAAAGTCATTATCTTTTTTTACTGTGTTTTTAAGCATTGTAAATTCATTTCCTGATACTACTGTGAAGTATAAAAAACATATTTTCCTGTTAACATCTGAACAATTATAGACTTCTGGAATATAAGGTATATCTACATTGGTAGTCAGAAAAGGAAGGAAGATCTAAGGAGATCTTAAATTTGTAAGAATTATAATTTAGAATTAAATTTTGAAAAATTGTGTGTGTGTACTTTGTTCTGAGAAGAATTTGTAAGAATGTTAGTAAATCATCTTAGTCTGAAGATAACATGTATTTTATAACTAAATTTAAGGAATTACTTGTGAAATTTATTAGAAAACAAAGTGTGCTATGTAAGTATTTAGAAATATCTCTTTTATCCAAAAGTATGTAAACAGTAACACATCCATAGTGACTATATTGTGGTTTCCCTTCACAGATATCAAGTTGTGCTAGTACAACCATATAAATAATTAATACCTGAAGTCTCAATGTAACATGGATATTAACAGTGATGACAGATAAAAGCAGACGCTTGGGAATCAAATACTAGGCGAAACACTTATAAAAAGGTAAGAAAAAATATAATCTTAATTTAGGCCAAGTGGGCTTTAGTTAGAAGTAATTTAGTTAGTAGAAGTAATTGCCTAGCATTTCTTTTTTCAGTATATCAGACTTCTAAGAAACTCATTTTCAGGTTCCTGTCTATCTTAATATGGGTAGAACTTAGTTATAAATATCAGTTCTTAAAAAATAATAGTTGCAGATATTTTTGCCTGGTAAATATCATAATGGATGATGTGTCTATAGGGACATCCAGATTATCCAGATAAGGTAGTCATGTGACAGAGTAGAACTTAATAGAGTGTTAGATTGGGCATATCCATATATGCTCAGAGACGCATTTTAAGTTATGGATTCTCCATTTTCCTCTGATGATTGCTTCCACGATACCACACACTATAGAATGTAATGTTTTGCGATGGCTGTGAAAGGCTTTCAGTGTTGAGTCCAAAGGAGATGTCAGTTGTACTCTTTGTTTTAAGAAGTTTGAGTTTTCAAGTCAAGGCTCTCTTTTTATAGGATTATGTTTTTACTGGGGTCCCTCTCCATGTTAATATAGAACAAACATTTTTAAATTATGGTATTAAATAGTTATATTTAGACAATTTTCCTACCTTTTACTTTTTTCAAAAATTTTCAAGGCATGTTTGGGAGATGTTGCATCTAGAAATATTAGCCCTGTTTCCCTTCTAGCTGACTAAAACAGTAATCTATTTTTATCAGGCAGTAACTCTAGTTTACGAAGTATTATAATTGAATCAGTCTTCAAATTGTGACTTTGCCAAAAATAGTGTCACTTTTAGAATATCTAGTTCTTTGTTCATAATAAAGTGACAATTTCTGTCATAAATGTCTTACCAGTCTTTTTCCTGGCGTTCCTTCTTGTTTCTGGATGGGCACTCATAATAATCCAATTAACCAGATAGTACATTCTCTGAAAAGTATATCATAATACATTAGTATAAAGTAAAACTGTAATTAACTAGACTGTCCAAGTAATGGAATGTAATTAGGTTAATTAAAATTTCTGGCTAACTGCGTACCAAAACAGAAAATCCTTATTCTGTCCTTGTTAAAAATCTGTATGCCAAGAATAATAGAAATTACCTTTTGTAATTGAGTCTTGTAGCACTTTAATCAGTATCCAGGTTATCCTGTAACTATGGAAGATGTGGTTGTTTCTTTGGTGTATATAACCTAAATGATTTTTGTTGTTTAGTCCCCAGTTTTACATGCTTGCAAGTCCAAATTTTGGAAAGGCCTCTAGAGTAAGAGTAAGAGATTATAGATTCCATTATGAGAAGTCTTATCAAGGGCAATCTTTGGGTCACCTAAAAAAAAAATTGTCTTAGAGCAGACTGTAGAAAAGAACTGAGTCACATTTTGACACAAACTAATTTGAGTAGTTTTGGTGTATTTCAGCAGCCCTGGTGGTGCATGGTTAAGAGCTCCGGGTGCTAACCAAAAGGTCAGCAGTTGGAATCCACCAGTTGCTTCTTGGAAACCCTATGGGGTATTTCTACTCTGTCCTTTAGGGTTGCTATGAGTCGGAATTGACTTGACAGCAACCAGTTTGGTTTGGTTTTGGTTTGGTGTATTTCAGCCTCTTTTTGGTTTGTTTTTGTTGGTTTCTAAAAATCCTATTCTGGGTTCTTAGTATCCATAAGGTTACATAGTTACCAAGAAGTACCGAAGATGTCACTATGAACATATATTCTGTTACCTGCTACTATTTCCTCTTATTATAGAAGGGGTAAATCTATTAGCATAAGTTAATTTTCTTCTTTTTTTTTTTTTTCTTATTTTAAAGAAAGGAATTTAAGAGGTTCTAGTATTCTCCATGGCTGAAGCTGAAAGTCTGAAACCCTGATGCTTAAGCTTTATTCTAGATCATAGCTCCAACTCCTTCAGGATATAAAGAAAAGAGATAATATTTCCACAATGATAGATCTTTGGTTGTACAGGTAAGTCATTCAGTTTTGCGGGTAGCGAAGACAATTGTAGTTTGATTTCTGGATGGAAGGGCTTATTATTTTTCTGTACTTGGTCCTCTGCATGGATGTACTTCATCCTCTGCTGGCTGTTTATAGGAGTGTGGAGCTATAGGGAATGGGTTAGGGGATGAAATATTTTCCTACTCTTTTCCTGACAGGAGGTTAAATGCAGTGGCTGAGTACATTGGAATCTTTAGGGCGTTATAACTAGCTTTACCACCCTAAGTATTTTTGACTCAATGGGCATGCTGAAATTCTTTGACTTCTGTTTTTCCTCAGCTGTCTTTATGTATTCATGCAGCTCTATCTATCCATCGTCTGTGTGTCACTCATAGTAGGGAAGAAAGAAGACATCTTTTTAAGTAAAATAGTAAATAATAGTGTTCCCAGGCTTCAAAGAGGCAAATAATAAGAACCTTAAGTTGAATGGCATAGGCGGGTTTCCAGGTTTCATTCTCCTACTTATAACCTTATAGAGAAGGTGGTAATTGCACAGTTGAAGTAATTTTTTAAAATGTATGACAAGCATAGCCTTAATATTATTAAATGTTTAGGGTATCCCTCCCAAACAGTGGAAGATTTTAAGAAGTTTTATATTCTAGACAACTAGAAAAAGAATCGTCTTCGCGACGTTTCCCAGTTGCTCTTGCTCTTTTTTCCTTTCACTTTGATTTTTCTGTATGAATATATAAATGAGTATCATGACCAGTTTCCTAACCATTGTTCACTTAATAAAACTGAATATGTATGAGCTAGAACATTGGTGTTAATAGAGGATTGCCAGCTCCTCAGTTCTCATTTTTCTCATATCGCTTTGGTAATTGTAGTAGGAATAATAGGTTACGGATTTCAAAGTGTCTTTGAAATCTCTTTTTGAGATTTTTTTTTTCCCTTAATTAATAGCCGGAGCAGTGTTTTATTAGAAGGGCCTTTTTATTTTATATTTATTATCCCTTTCAGTTCTTACTGATGCAGTTCTGCATATGTGAATTCATTGTGATAAAATATGTGAATGCTGGGAATTTATTATGATCCGGAACGTAGTATTTGTTTCAGATATTCATAGATATTATTTCAGAATCCTGTAGTTAGATTTGAGGTAAAAGTAGATTGAAATTTGGAAGTGGAGAGCTCAGCAGTAAATAAGTGAATGGGATGTTGGAATTATAGATAGAATTTTGGGCTTAATATGAATGGGCAGACTGAAATTTGGTTGACTGGCTCTTCTCAGACATGCTCTCCAATAGGATGAAAACTTATTAGGGTGGAGAAGAGAGGAAATGAGTCTGTTCAACTCTGGTGATTGATCACAGTCTCTTCCGTCTCTATTCTAGAAAGTTCTGTTCATTTGTGGATAACGTATAGTAAAACTTCAGTTTAGCTACTAGGTTGGGTTTTGTCCATATGAATATATTAGATAATGGTTTTCTTTAATTCTAAAACTAGAGTGATTGGATTTCCAGTTCCAAATGGGTGCTGGCCAAGGTTTTCACCACATGCCTCCTGCTTTGTTAATCAGCAGGGATATTTTCTGAGCTGTTTAGTTTGTAAGTGAATTCATTTCTATTCCCTTAGCAACTTTATATTTGGCAGGAATATAATTTTGTCCTCCAAACCTCTTTACTGGATTTCTTCAGTAACTGTTTCATGCAACTAAAATGAGGAAAACAACTGCTTTAATCTGTAACTCCTTTGTCAGGCATGACAAAACAATGTAGAGAGTTGGTTGAGATAATCTGGACATTTTAAGTTCCTTTATGATCTTGAATTTTGTACTTTATTAGATAACTATAGAAAGTATATACCTTTATATATGCCTATCCAAAATAGAAAAGATACGAAGGAAAATGTTAGAACAAAAGAAAAAATTATCAGAAGAAAGAGTATTAAAATTTTATTCAATGCTAATCTTTATAATTTTCACCAATGTGTTACCTTAAGTGCATATAGTATGTTAATTTCAGGTAAGAGATTTTTAAATAGTCCTCTCTTTGGTACTTCCTTAGCCAGAGGAATCATAGCTTTATTTTAAATTTTTTATTATTACCATCAAGTAAGGAATTAAAAGGTTTACTATCAATAGGGCTAATTTAGTTTGAAACTTAATGACTGTATTATTTTATTAGAATGATGTTTGGGTGCAGTGGTCTAAGGCAGTACTTCTCAGATTTTAATGTGCATATGAATCACCTAGGAATCTGATTACAGGAGATACCCGTGATACTGGTTTTCGGCCACGCTTTAAGGTCCAAAAGTTTGAGCTATCAAAAGGGTTCTTGTTACAAAACAGGTTCACTTTAAATATGACCCAATAGCATAGGACTTGAGCACCCTAAAACTTGGGCTTTGTAGTTGTCAAATGGAATAAAAACGTTTTTGGGTAGCAAAAGAAACAAAAAGAAGTTTAATCTTTTACATTAATCAGTATTTTGATATTTTAATCACTGAAATGGTGAAGAAATAAAATAGGCCATCATTATAGGTGGTATTATGTAGTGAATATGTATGTGTAATACACACACACACACACACACACACACACACACACACACACACACTCTTTCGCACACACACACACACACACACACACACTCTTTATAAGTAGTTCTGGGTACTACTACTACTACTAGATTTACTTCATCCAAAATAGCCTCTCTTTAGAAAGTTTATACCGCAAGGCAGAGATTTTGGTCTTATTCAGATTGGTGCGGAAAGAAAAGAGGGGCTAGGAATGCCTGTTATTAGAGTTAGAATCATTTAAGAGGTTTAAATCCCCTTAATTGACTTTGCATTTTAAAAAGTAAAGATTAACAGATTCTTTTTTGTGTGTTTATAAAATATTACTCTTGCCAGTATTATTTTTGAACCATACATTTAAGTTATGAATATAATTAAGGTATACTTCTAAAAATATTTGCATTAAAGTTTGTGAGTAAAATTTACTCGTAGAATAAACTCATTATTACGTTTCCTTTGTACATTTACGTAGGTATTTAATATTTAAAAATCAATAACCTTCAAATTTGAGAGCTCCAAACTCGAAAACAAATAAATTGCTTTTAATCTTCTCAGTTTGCCCTTTTGAAACATCATTGAAAGTTTAACTTAAATATTTCGTAACTAAAAGTAGAAATCTACAGGAAATTCAGTGTTTGTTACCTGTGAATAAAAATATGTAGACTGTAATCTTGATTACAAGATTTTAGCAAAAGAGAATTACATGTCAGGTCCCTCAGATGAATACCAAAACAGTAAAAGATTACCATAGAAAATGGGTTCCTAAGTTCTGATCAGTGTCTCTTGGTATGGAATTCTCAGAACAGATAATTATCCAGGGCTAGTTGTGTGTGTTGTAAGGTTTAAAAAAATTGTTAGTTAAATTTTTAAAAAATATGCCATGTTCTGAAACAAAACTGAATTCAACCAATGTACATATTTTACAGGATACTTTCTCACTTAATTCATTTGTCAGCAGGTAGGAACAGGGAGTCAGTTTTCTTTAATGTTTCTGTTTTTAAAAATGTGGTAGCATGTTGCTTTGTCTTCTGTACTTCATAACCTTTCCACTATTAGATCCTTCTAATGAGGCAAAGGAGAGATTGTTTGATTTGAGGTGGAGGGGTAGAATGGCATTTGGAGGATTATACTACAGAGGGAGACTGAGGGAAAGATGGTGAAAGGGAGGAGGAGAGTACTGTGAAGCTTTGCACCACAGCCATTATTAACTTCTTTCTGTAACCATCCTGCACCCCATTCCAAGTTAGGCAATGAAGTAGCAAATCATCTTGTGAAAGCTAAATAGAAGAGGAGCAGAGAAATGGAGACTTGAAATGTTAATAACTCCTTTATGGGAGATGGGAGAGACCTTCAGAAAATATCACTAAACTATTCAAAGAGGAGTTTATCCAAATGGATCAGTCAGGTCACTTTTCAATTTCTCTTCTATTTTTGTCTTAGAAACTCCAAGCATCTACACCAGAAAACTTGCTCATCTCCCAAACCACTTATTAAAACAATAGAATACACAGACGTTTGAAGAAGGAAAGGGTGGGAAGTTATATGTGTCTCTTGATTTCTTAAATGTAAATATTTGCTTTAGAGGCTTCTTTCCCATTTTCTTCTATCATCTTTAGATACTTCCTTTTACTTGACAATTTATGACTTCACTTCTGGAGACTAGGGAGGCTTGGCTTTGCTGTTCAGTTTGCCAGTGCTAACTAGGATCCATCTACTTAGTTACAAAAAAATTCCACTACAACAAAAAAATTTTTTGATGCCACAGTTTTTTGTGAAAGGATTTTACTGAAACTCATTTTAATAAGAGTGAATTGAAAAGCAGAGTCTTCTTTTCTACCTCCCAGGAATGTTTTGGGAGAAAATGAAAAATGATTGGGATAGTTTCCATAATATAGCTGCTATATGAACTCAAGATTATTATTTTAATAACCAAGATGTAATCCCATCCTTGAAATAGATCTTTTCTGGCACTCTTTGTTTATGTATCTGAGAGGCAGATATACAGTAAGGCGGGTTAAGAATATGATCTCTGCAGCCCTGCCACTTAACAGCTGTGTGATTTTAGACAGATTATGTAAACTGTCTGTGCCTCAATTTTCTCTTTTTAAAGTAGGGAGTTGTTGTGAGACTTAAGTGAGTTAATGTATGTGAAGCACATAGAGTGGTTCCTGGAACATATTAAGTGCCATATAAGTGTTAACTGTTATTAATATAATTATTGGAAATGCTAGTAAAATAAATTATATCATGCAATTTATTAATATTGGCTATACTTGGGTTAAAAAATTATAGCTTTATACTTTTGTTTTAGGTATATTAACTATTACCTTTTTCTCATTATTTTGTTTACATTTTTGAAGGTTTCCCAATGAGTGGATCATGATGACCGTATTGTAGGGACTTGCCATAGTATGGCTGCTTCCCGATCTACTCGTGTTACAAGATCAACAGTGGGGTTAAACGGCTTGGATGAATCTTTTTGTGGTAGAACTTTAAGGAATCGTAGCATTGCTCACCCTGAAGAAATCTCTTCTCATTCTCAAGTACGATCAAGATCACCAAAGAAGAGAACAGAGCCTGTGCAGATTCAGAAAGGAAATAATAATGGAAGAACCACCGATTTAAAACAGCAAAGTACTCGAGAATCATGGGTAAGCCCTAGGAAAAGAGGACTTTCTTCTTCAGAAAAGGATAACATAGAAAGGCAGGCTGTAGAAAATTGTGAGCGAAGGCAAACAGAACCTGTTTCTCCAGTTTTAAAAAGAATTAAGCGTTGTCTTAGATCTGAAGCACCAAACAGTTCAGAAGAAGATTCACCTTTAAAATCAGACAAGGAGTCAGTAGAACAGAGGAGCACAGTAGTGGACAATGATGCAGATTTTCAAGGGACTAAAAGAGCCTGTCGATGTCTTATACTGGATGATTGTGAGAAAAGGGAAATTAAAAAGGTGAATGTCAGTGAGGAAGGGCCACTTAAATCTACAGTAGTAGAAGAAATCACAGGCTATTTGGCTGTCAATGGTGTTGACAGTGATTCAGCTGTTATAAACTGTGATGACTGTCAGCCTGATGGGAACACTAAACCAAATAGCACTGGTTCCTGTGTGTTGCAGGAAAAATCAGTAGCTGAAAATGGGGATTCGGATACCCAAACTTCAGTGTTCCTTGATAGGAAGGAGGACAGTTATATAGACCATAACGTGCCTTGCACAAATTCAGAAGTGCAGGTAAAGTTGGAGGACCACAAAATAGTAACTGCCTGCCTGCCTGGGGAACATGTTAATCAGCTGACTACTGAGCCAGCTACAGGGCCCTTTCCTGAAATTCAGTCATCTTTAAGGGATTCTGAGGAGGAAGTAGATGTGGTGGGAGATAGCAGTGCCTCAAAAGAGCGGTGTAATGAAAACACCAATAACGTCCTGGACACAAGTCTTGAGAGTGTGCCAGTCTCTGGAGAACCAGAACCATCTTCTGTTCTAGACTGTGTTTCAGCTCAAATGATGTCTTTATCGGAACCTCAAGAACATCGCTATACCCTGAGAACTTCACCACGAAGGGCGGCCCCTGCCAGAGGTAGTCCCAGTAAAAACAGTTCTCCTTGCAGAGAAAATGGACAATTTGAGGAGAATACTCTTAGTCCCAATGAAACAAATGCAACTGTTAGTGATAATATAAGTGAGTCTCACACAAATCCTGATGAAATTTCCCAGAATGAAAAAGGGATATGTTGTGACTCTGAAAATTATGGAAGTGAAGGACTAAGTAAGCCACTCTCAGAGGCAAGACTCAATATTGGACATTTGCCATCTGCCAAAGAAAGTGCCAGTCAGCACGTTACAGAAGAGGAAGATGATGATCCTGATGTTTATTACTTTGAATCAGATCATGTGGCACTGAAACACAACAAAGAGTATGTGTAAATATGGTAACCATGAATTCTGCTTTGTTTATTATTCCCCAAGTTTTCCGTATCTGTTACATAGCTATTCATAGTGTTTTTATTACAGCTAAAATTAATGCTTTAGCTAAAATATTAGGTTTAACATAATGATTTTCCCAACTCTTAAAAAAATTCCAGAAAAGGAAAAAATTTAAAACTCCACTTTATTTCTCTTTTGTATGGCAATATGGTTTTTCTAGTTTTGACATTTCACATGTCTTAATTAGTAATAGAAATGACATGTGGAAACATAGTTAATCGTATTTTTATTTTTAAACAAGTTTTATAGAACTCCACTTTTAATTACATATATTTATTTCCCAATTAAAATTTTTTATTTAAAAATATGTGCTTTATGCATTATCTTTGACTTTTGTGACTTTTACATAGAGAAGCAGATATCAGTTGTTAATGCTATGACAGTTGTATATTGTAGTTAGCATATTAGCAATAGTTGGTCAGCTGTATAGTTTTCATAAAGCACTCGACAGCTTTTCCTGATACTTAAGGGGAGACTTAAGGTACTATCAGTTCTCAATCTTTGCCATAAAGGCACTTTAAATAAAGAATTGTGTTTAAGTTTTTCACAGTTTTGTTTAGATTTCATTTAAAGTATTCTGGGCAGTAACACAAATGAATTGAAACTAATTATGGAGCTAAATAATCCTGAAAGGAACTGTAACGAATAGTGCTCATTATAAATATCATGATCCATAATAGTAAAAGACAGATTTATATAGATGATCACTGTTACTACTCTTACAGAGTAGGCTTTTGAATTAATATCACAATCAGATTATATGGGCTGCATAAGAATACTTTGATTTGAGAGACCTTTATATTGTTGTGACAACTGCCAGATCTTGGTATGTATCAGATCAATGTATCAAATCCTGTTTGTGGGGCATAATATTCTTTTTGCCATGCATTATAGATAGCTCAGATTTGTATATGGTAATAAGGTGGCCTTTTTGCATAGGTCTGTGTCTGAAATTTTCTTCTTTTTATGCACTATTTCAGTACTGGGTTTAATAGACAGGTCATTTTATCTGAGTGTTTTATAAATTGACTTCTGTAAAGATGTTAGCATTTTCATGTATTTGAAGTGTTTGAAATCTAGTTTGCAATATCACAACAACTCTTAGATGAAGTTTTTTTAAGTAGAAATAACTTGAGTTCTTATCATCAATATATAATATCTGTTTTTAAAAGTAGAGTTGATCATCTGCAGGTTTAAGGAAACAGAGCATATGTCTTGAGGAAATGCCAGAAACTTAAGAAATATGAATTTTTACAAAATAATAATCTATTAGTTCTGTTCTTTGCTTTTTATTGTTTGGTTTTTTTGTTGTTGTTGAAAAAAACTCTCTTAAGGCTTGGCTGGTCATTGTTATTCATGGAAAATATTATCATTAATTCATTATAAAACCAAACCCATTACCGTCAAGTCAATTCTGACTCATAGCGACTCTATAGGACAGAGTAGAACTTCCCCACAGGGTTTCCAGGGGCAGCTGGTGAATTCGAACTGCTGACCTTTGGCGTAGCATCCAAGCTTTTAACCACTGTTGCCACCAGGGCTGCAATTCATTATAGTGCTACTTTTTTAATGAGTGCCCTCCTAATGTTGGTTCTGAAAGAATGATGTTCGAAAAAGCAATTATCTAGAGGTAGTGGCCATTAACATTAAAGGTTGATGTTCCATATTTATAACCCTTTGGAGATGAGAGCAATACAGTTTCATGGGTTCCTCAGGATATACAGAATCCTTGGGAATTTCAATGTTGGTTGCTTTATTTGGACAGTAATCTCAAATTATTGGGCGACTTTGGGCAAAAGAAATCATTCATTCTTGCTTTTTTGCCTTGCTCCAAATCCCTTGACGATTTTGATACTTCAAAAAAAAATTTTTTTTTTTTTTACACTTCATTTTTTATTTTTTTTAACCCCTAAAGGAAACACATTGGGAGAAGTAAGATGGAGGGAGCATCTTGATGAACATTATGATTAAGAGAAATTAGGAAAGGGTGTTTCATTATGGTGTCAGATGTAATCTCTTTTGTGCAAAGTCCCACTTTCCTCCCCAGCGCCTCTAATCTTATGCTTTTTGTCTAGAGCCAAGAGATAGATATAATGTTGGCTGTTTTTACCCAAGTTGTCATCTTAAAAAAAATAGCATCACGATACCTGTCTAGTGCTTTCAAAGCTCAAATAAATTTCTGACAGTTTGAAAACGTTGTTAAAAGGTACTTGGGGTAGATGGGTTATTATATTATTATCCTCCTATATACACACGTTGGAGCCCTGGTGGCTCAGAGATCACCTGCTAACCAAAAGGTCAGCGGTTTGAATCCATCAGCTGCTCCTTAGAAACCCTATGGGGCAGTTCTACTCTGTCCTGTAGGGTCGCTATGAGTTGGAGTCAACTCGATGGCAGGTTTGGTTTTTGGGTTTTATACACACACATACACACACCCCATCAAGTATGTTTTCCTTAATCTCCATGTGGAAAAGTTATCCAGGTAATTAATTGCCTTCTGAAACTGGGGATTGAGCATTGCACAGCCTAAAAATGAATATCCCCACTAATAGGGAATGAGTACTTCCTGATAGTCAGTTTAAAAAACAAGTTATTAATAGAAAATACTGAGCAGGGCATAGTTCTTTATCCAGAGCCAGGAGGACATAGCTTTGAATACCAACATATTTTATTTCAACCAGTGTGGATGGTTTCATTTGAGTTGAAACTTTCCTCTAAATTAACATTGATTATTTAATAAGCATCTTTCTAACAGCATTCTGCCAATAATTTATCCATCTTTTTTGCAAGGATATCACATATAAACAGGGCTTAGAACCAGGTTCTTTCTGCCTTTAACCCCTGCTGAGAATTTGTATTTTTAATAGTTCCCAGGAAGTTACGCATAAGAATCACCTGGGGATCTTGTTAAAATATATTTGGGTAGAAATGCGCATTCTCAGCAGGGGTTCCAACCATACAGAACAGATTTGAAGCCCTGCATATAAAGTCATCTAATTACTTGTAAATGTTTGAGAAGATACTGTGAGTAGTTTTCTGCAGATATTCTGGGTGCTTACTCTTTTGCGTCTCTAGATACCATCCCCTTTTCTTAGTACTTAAATCCACAGTATACTTTCATATATTTTTGGAAATGGAGAATCCTGTGAGCAAAGAACTAAAGAGTATCTTTTTTTCTAGCAAGATTCAGCTGTGGATTATTTTACTAGAAGTGCCTTCTCGAAAATTAGGGGACAAGAATAAAAAGAAATATACTTTATTTCATAGCTTCCTGATCTTCAAGGTTGATACATCTTGTTAACATAGATAATACCTGGTGACTGTACGTGGCCTATATTTCCTGCCTGACTGAAATCATGTTCTTAACTGTGGATTGCCCTTTCTGTTTGGGAATTGACCTTTTGCTGCTTATTTTGAATCAAGAAGCGCTGAAACTGATCTCTTAAGTTTTGAAGTTCTGGCTCTAGGGAGACTAGGTACGGAAGATTTCACATCCTGGACTTTAATGTTCAGAGCTTTTTTTTCAAACCAAACCTTATCACTGGAAAATAAATTTTCAGATGAAAATGTGGTTTGGCCCAGCTGTCTTTGCATTCTCATTGTGCAAGAATATGTAAATAAATTTACATTTAAAGGGCCTTGGATAGATTCGTTTAAAGATCTTTGATATTAATTATAACTGTTCATGAACAGAAAGTGAAAAGTTAGATTTAAGGTTTCTAGATTCTTCATATTAGTTCATGGATAGTGGATTGTTAATGTTGATACAAATTTTTTAAATTTCTAGATATTGAAAGTGTAAGAAAGTTATTGCTCAGGTATTCTCAGGTAGGAATCTGATTTTTTAGCCGTATTAGAAATTATTTACAAGGATTGTAGTTTTAAACTTAGTTCTCTAAAATGTTAGACATTAAATAATTACAATCCCTTCTGTTGCATCATGCTTCTTTAATAGTTTATGAATCATTTGATATTTTCATCAGTTTCGGAAGCTGCATAGAGAAAATGCCTACCAGTGCTTACAGATTCACTTCCTGAGAACCTACTTTGATTGTTGGTGAAAATAATTTCTTGCAAGGGGCCAGAACAACCCCAGGACTAGGGATGGATTTTGCTTAGCTCTAAAGGAGTCATCCTGCCCTGGATAAGATAATTTTATATTTTACATTTTATAGAGCTTCATAATTTACAAAACAATTTCTTAAGGTTTTTCAGAACTCAGAAGTTAACAGGGTAGGTGGCATTATACAACCCTGATCTCCCAACTCATAATTAAAGTTTTTACATTGTATCATGATGAATTGCTGGTAGAGATGGGATTAGAACTTTTGTCTTCTAATTCCTAGTCTGGAGCTCTTTGAATTATACTTGGTTACCTCATCCAATGAGGGCATATCCCATGGACTTTTTAGGTTACTACCTTGAGAACCTTCATGGAACAGAGTCTTGAGTACCCAGTTTTCAAGAATTTTGTAGCTTGAGTTTAAGCTTTGTAATTGTAGTCTTGATTATCTGGTTTTATCAGTCATAGAATCAACATTATAGGTAAGTAACGTATTTTATTTATTAAATGAAATACTTTCGTGTTCGTTGTTTTAAAGAACATCATGTTAGTGTGTCTGAAGAATAACTGCCATTGTACAGACTGGGAAAATTAAAAACAACTGCTGCTATAGCTTGACTTCAAATAGAGAATTTAGATCATTTGAAGAAACACTCTGGGCTGGGGCTTTTAGAATGCAGTTAGATATATTAAAGTCAGAGCTTGCTAGGGAAAATTCATGCTTGGTGCACCTTCTCAGCTCATTGGAAAAGGCTGTGGAGTAGTAGTAGCTAGATTGGCCGCGGTAGTTTGGCACAGAGGTTAATGGCGGGGGGAGCGGGGTGGTGATGGGGATCTACCTTAAGTAGAAAGTTTCTGGTTATAAGT